GACTGAGTATTTAGAGCAGCAGCTTTCAACCTGTGGGTCCTGACCCCATTGGAGGTGGCATATCAGATATCCTGCGTATCGGATATTTACTTTATGATTCATCACAGAGCAAATACAGATATGAAGTAGCAACGAAATAAATGTTCTGGTTGGGTTACCACAACATGAGAAACTATTAAAGGATCACAGCACTAGGAGGGTTGAAAGCCACTGGTTTACAGCATCCCTTAACTGTAGTTTTCAGGTATCTGGATTAGGGCTTTGGGGTCTATATGGGGAGCAAAGGAAGTTTCCTGGAAAGGCCATGGCAGCCGCTTCTCTGGGGTCTTGCTTTAAATTCAAAGGCTGGAACCACACCCCACACATGAACAGTTGCTTATTTTCATTCCATCGCTGTCCCTTCCCATCTACTTCCAATGCAGCCACAACATTGGCGTTTCAGAAGAGCTTTGTGTTTCTACTTAATAAATATTCAAATATGGTGTAGATAACGCAGATGTTGCAGGGATGAGTGTCTGTGCTTTAATGCTCTCTGGCAGGGTTGCTTACGAGCAGATGGATCAGTCACCTATGTACTCTCGAAGCTGAAATGAACCAAGGTGAAAATGGTTAATCTTTCACTGTAACCTGGTCATTTGGAGGATAATAGTGTTTTCTTCTAAACCGCTGTAATACCATTCTAAATTACTCATCCTCCATCAACATGCCTGCCAGGGACTCATGTGTAACTGTGTTACAGCAGCCTTCCCAGGTATATTGCTAGGTGTGTGTGTGACCTCAGAATGTACAGGTAGCATGGTATGACCTGTAACAACCCGGCAACGAACAGTGCATCCGTTTACACTTTACACTTCTGTAACAGGCCTCAGGGAAGGTCAGTTTTGTTTTGTTTTAAGTAGAATCGTTCTGCCTGCCCAAACACAAATCAAAACAGAATGGAGTCTTCCTTCAGCTTTGTTTTTGCGCAGCAATCCAGTCAGGTAGTTTGTCTGGAAGGGAAAGCTGTGTAAGCATTTTTATTTAAAATAAAATAGATTTGTATTAAAAGCACACATACTGACTGATAGACAGTGTTTCTGTCCCACAGATCACATTGTCCAGCAAAGAAAATGAAGTAGCTGGAGTGCCGCAAACACAGTTGGAACACTTTAAAGCAGAACTCAACAGTCGACTGCAGATGACTCAGGAGTTCTGCACCTTTCCCTATAGAAATTCCCACGCTCCGTTTCTGCCCTTACCCAAGCCAGGCCCATGTGTCCGACACCTTACCATAGACAGCTGTGAGCAGCTGTCTTCTGGCTTGAGGACAAGAGTCAGGCCTCAGTTTTATTTGCATCTATACTTTTGCGCAGTGCCTGGTATGAAGCAAGCAGTAAATATTGACTAGGAGTGATCAAAGGACTGAATGAATGACAAATACATGAATGTTTTTGTGGAAGTCTAGGTTGCAGGATGATCTAATCTCGGAACTGCAGTTGAGGATGAAGCACAATCTCCCTTATGAACAAGACTGACTCCTGCTCTCCCTGGAAGCTGGACTGGTACTCAAGAGGCTTTTCAACCCAAGTATATTTTCTTATATTTATTACTAAGTACTGACAAAAGGAATGTCAGGGAACTTCATGAGTATATATAAATTACTAGACCAAAATTTGTTCACCAACTTTATAAATTGTTACTTGGAAGAAATGTTGACAGTTTTGGAAAACATAAAGCTAGAGTTTTGTTCCTCTAAATACACCCATGATTACCAAATTACCAAAATTATAGAAAGAAGGGGTAACATTTTTATTATATTTAAAGACAGCTTTGTCAAAAACATGAGCTGCCAATACACCAAACACCAAGTAGACAGGTGAAAGGCAAAATCTCAGTTCTTTAGTGGCAGAAGCTTCATTTCAAGTTCTCAGTAGCTATATCTCGGTAGATGCCTCTTCACTTAAGGCCGTGTAAGTGGGGAGCATGTCTATCACCATAGGAGCTGGGTTGGAAGTACAGGAAGATGTAAAATTCTAAACACATTAATAATAGCAATACAAGTTCAAGTGACTTTTTGTCTTGATACCTAACAGGAAGATAAACACATATTTAGAAATGAGTAACAAACAAACATACAGCAATGAAGGATCTGAGGGTATAAAGTTACATATGGTTAACTTAGCATTTTTTACCACATTGAAAATACTTGCAAGATACTTTAGACTTTCATTTCACAGATCATGACATGAATACACAGAATGGGACAGGAAAGACAATCACTCTTATTTCAGACAGTTAGAATATCCAAATAAGGCCATTATTCAATTACAAGGACTGACCACATCTGAGACTCTTGGCCTCTGGTTTCTAAAAGTCTATGGTTCTGTGTATTAACTGATGTTTAAGTAAGTACACTGAAAATTTGAAAGGCATTTATTTCAAGAATAATTTTTAAAACACACAGGAGAAGTATATAATGGCAAAAGTTGTTCTTTGAAACACCCCAATTCTCGGAGGAGCTCAAATTAATTTCTCTCTAGAAACTGTGGTGATCAGAATGGAGTGCTTTATATTTGTGAGTACAGGGGAAGATTTTAATGAGCCCAACACAAGCCCTGGATACTCAAAACTAACAACAGACAAACAAACAAGCAAAGCCAACAAAATAAAACACCAAAAACCCTTCTCATTTATCTTTATGCCCAACTTCATTCTTTGGAGGTATTTTTAGAACTGAGCTCTAGAATTACCTGTCTGTGGGAGGTTTATTCCTCATCAAACCAAAAATCTTACCTTCATATCTTTAATTAGCTCTTCAAATCAAACACTTCCCTATGGATAATTTTCTGAGTTCTAATTTTACTTTCAGAATGTTAGCATTTACATTTTACCTTTCAGCTGGCACTAAATAGTAAAATTTTAATATTTTTGTTCACAGGGTCTAAAACTAAACCCCAAACACTTGCTAAATATTCTGAAAGAAGATGGGGTAATTATTTAAGGATGCAGGATGCAGTCAGAACACGAAGGCTATTCATTGCTGTTGTTAATAACGTAACTTCAACCCAGCTTCCTCAGAGATCTGGCACTTGAGATGCGATGAATGCATAGACTGAGCTCCTAATGTATATTTATAAAAGCATATTCTGAGTATCAAGAGAAATTTAAATGATTACATTCAAATTTTGAGCCACAAAATTTCAAAAGTAATTCATTTGAAAAATACACAGAACAGGTAGGTGTGTAACAATAAGACATTAAAACATAACGCAACATCCTTGCTACAGAAGTACCTCAACACATACCAGCTAATGTTGCTTCAAATGAAGGCACAAAAGCTGACCCACAAATGTCTCATATGACTTACCCATGAGATAGCATTTGCTATCTTCCTCTGACACTTCACAACAGTTTTTCAAACTATTACAATGACCTTCAGTTTCTATATATAAACTTACACAAGATTCTGCATTGCTACCAATTCAAATCAACAGAAAGCAGTTTGGAAGCTTGGTAGTGGAAGCGTACAGATTGCAGGAGAGTGGACTATCACTGAAAGCAGAAGAACTGTACGAGCACTCGCTAAGAAAATCACTGGGCTGATTCAACTGTCGAGCACATTTTCATAGCACATTTACCGCACGCATTGTACAAGAGAAATGGGGAACAGCAATGTCAAGTGGGTATAAAACTCTGCCATCCTCCATCCTGTGTGACTCTGGACAATAGTCACTGCATTTGTACAATTAATAAAGAACATGCAAGTCCTACTTCTGCACCGGCTTTTCAAAGGCTCCCAACAGCCTTACGCTGTTCACATAACTTTCTGGGACAAACCTTGCTGATGAAACACAAACCATAAAATCTAACTTCGTTGTTTACATGACACAAAACGAACAGCTAGACCCTCTTCAGACAATTCAATTCTGCTTTATTCATGCAGACCAAAAGCCGCTTGCTTCAGGCTAATTGTAAGGTTAGCTTCATTCTTCTGTTATAAGCACAGACACAAAGGGAGATATTATTTACATAAACACGAACTAATTGTCAGGTTTACTTCAAGAGCCGGGGCGTCACTTACCTATAGCAATGTACCAAACAGCAAGTACCTTTTAATTATTCTGAATCGTAGAATCCAATAAGAACCCTATAACGGCGCACATGTTTTTCCTTCACAACCTGTTACACTACACGAGTGTATGTAATGTGCTTATCTATAAAGCCATACTGCTGAACAGAAATTCAGTTTCCACGACGCTTTTGTCTTGAGATGTGGTGTAAAGTCCTGAATGCCTGCACTTCTCAGCTCTCAGAAGAAACCAACCAACCGTATCTGGAAGCACTTTACTTCAACTCTGAAAGACCTGTAAGTTTTACAGGCACCCTGACTCTTTCCTGGATGTCTACAGTGAAAGCAAACCTGCCTCGCTTTTTTTTTTCTTCTCCTTTCTTTCTTTCTCGAATGCATAAAGTTGCTGCTTGTGTTTACGTTTGCCAGCTCTAATCTTGGGACGAGACAGAAAGATCCATCAAGGAAAGGAAACCGGAGGTGAACGTCACCTTTGGAGACCCACACTGGCGCTCGCTCACCTTATGATAAGGCGGGGATGGGTTCGGGAGATGGAGGAAAAAGAGCCAATCCAACCCCAAAAAAGCACTACCTGTAGCTGCCTAAAAGAGGGTCAGGGTGCTGGGGGCGCTGGGAGGAGGGAGAGGGGGCCAAGGGTGCGATCACAAAGGGGACTCCTTTTCCAGGACCATATTTGGGGAAGCGTTCCAGCCCGCCGCGGCGGTCCTCCTGGCTCGAGGAAGAAAGGGACTCGCGGGGACCGCTCTGCCCGCCCTGCCTCTCCCCAGCGAGCCCCGGCGCTGGGCCCTCACCCCCAGGCCTCGGTGGGGGAGGGGACGGGGAAGAAGGCGGCCGGTGCCTGGCGGCCTGGGGGGAGAGCTCCGGCCCGGGGCGCTGCAGCGCGGCCCGTGCATCCGGAGGGATCCCAGCCCGGGTCTGTCTTTCCACTCACCGCTCTCCACCTCGCTGCCTTTCTTGGCGATCGCAGTGTTCCCCATGACCCGGGAGGGAGTCGGCGAGCCGGGGTGACGGAGGGGAGGGGACCGGGGCCGCCCCGCCGCCCCGCAGTCTGCAGCGACTTCCCGCTTTCGCTCGGCTCCCACCGCTCCTGGAGCCCGGCGTCCGGGTGCGCGGAGCAGCCGGGTGTCGCGGGGAGGGAGATGCGGCGGGCGAGCGACGGGGACCGCGGCGGCGGCGGCGGCGGCGGCGCGCAGACACTCCCCCTTCCCGAGCCCGCCCTCCAGGCGCGCCCCCAGCACCGCGCGTCCCCGGGAGCCAGGCGCACGCCCGCGGCGCGACCCCGGGCCCGGAGCGGCTTCGCGGGCGGGCGGGCGCGCCGGAAGTGACGTCGGCGCAACCCCCCCTCGCCCCGGCGTTGGGAGCCCCTCTATGCCGGGCTGGAGCGGTGACCCCGCCGTCGTTCTCCGCCGCCGCCGCCGCGGTTGGTCACGTTGCACTCGGAGGCCAGCCCCGAGGTAGCGGTGGGGACACGGAAACCGTTAGCTTGGGAGAACCACGAATCCTTCCTCGGCGTGGCATCCGGTGCCCTAGAGCCGGGCGGGGGGCACGGTGCCGGGGCTCGGCCTGCTCCCGCTTCCGGGTGGCGCGGGTTCCGCACGCACGGGCTGCTCCCCCACGAGGGAGCTCCTTCTGGGGGCTGGGAGGAACCTGCACGCGCCCCTCTCCGCGTCCTGGGGACCCAGCATCAGCCGGGACTGCCGGCTCTCTGCCCCCAACTGTCACCTTCTTCCCGGCGCTCTTGTAGGTATTCTCCCAACACGCCGGGGCCATCGCCTACTTCTTGGCGGGTTATTCTCGACCTCGCACTCTCCGCGGTCCCACCGGTTTCCTAAGGGGATGTGTGACTAATTTTACGCTAGTCCTGTTGTGTGCATCATCGCAGTTACCCAACTTCATGTGCAGATTTCAGAATAAACACATCCCCAGTTGTTTGCGGCGCTTTTGTGCATCTCAGGGTGCTTGAATCTTCTGTTAGCCTGTTAGGTAATTACACGTTCCTCTAGTGGTCTTTGTTCTGTATTCTCTTGAGCTTTTCTATGTAAGCACACATTCCAAATTTAGAACAGAAAGATTAACTTCTGAAAGGGCAGAGACCATGTAAATTTGATTATTTTTTATCTTAGGAGCACCAGGCGCAGTTGGCGTTTCCTGGGTGGATGGTTGTTGACTTGAAAGTAAGCCGAGGAGGTTTTTCAGTATGTTTTTTAAAGTTATGTTACTGAAAAAAAATAATAAATAAATAAAGGCAGCGGTGACCGTAGAAGATTATAAACAACTTCATCCTATTTCTTACTGTCAATTATGTTAAATTACCAAACATGTACACCAGGCGTATTGCATTCTAAGAGTTATACAAATAGTAACTAGTCTGTCCTTATAAGACCCCTACCACCATTGTTTTACCTAAGATCCATCTGAGACATTGCAGAAGGCATACCATCTCAGAAATGCCAGATGGGTGCATTGATTGTTTCAATTTGAAATGAACCGTTCATCCCTTTCATTACAGCAGGCCCTACTGTTTGGAAAGATGCCCTCTACATACCCAGGACAGGAAGTAGCGTTAATCACCAGTACTACAATTGGGGCCACAAAGAACTGCATCAAACAAACTCTGGCGTAACTCTCAAACGTATCCCCACATATGTGTCTTTTAAGAACATCCCTGGAACTTATTGCACTGTCGTCCACATATACACTAGTCCAATTAGTCCTTCCCAGATTTTCTATTTGTCTAAAGTATGAAAACACTTCTTTAGACTTCACTTTCTGTGAAGAGCCCCATGTACTTGTCAGTCAGCTTTGGTATGTTCCTAGATTCAACCTAGGTCCAACCAAAGAAGACACACAGCTCCTAGGTGGCATGGGCAAGAGTGTCCTGTCCCTCTGATAAGCAGCTAGACTCCATGGTGTGACTTCTTGTAAGTTGGATATCTGATGTTGTGGTGAATTACATTCCCCTATATGCAATCCCACTGACTTGAAAAGGTAGGCAGATAATTAGTTTACGTGAGTGTATTTACCATTGTTGCCCAAGTTTCCATTAAATGCAAATAAAACAACAATAATAAGGAAGCAAGTGCACCAGACATGGTGGCCCACACCTTTGTTTAATCTCAGACAGATTTTGAAGTCAGCCTGGTCTACATAGTAGGTTTCAGGACAGCCAAGGTTACACAGACCCTGTCTCAGAGAGAAACGGACGAGGGGAAAACCATGCAGACACCTCACACCCTTTTCCAGTTACATTAAACTTTGTGGGTATGGCTTGTTTTATATACTTTAAAAATGCAGAAACAAACCACATGCACACCAAATTTTATGCACGTTGTTCTGAGAAGGACCTTCCTAGACCCCGAGAATACTCAACGCTGCCTCCATAATGTTGGCTTTTAAAATGTGTGCAAGGCTAGCTTAAGTGATAGCATTGTTCTCAATCATGACTCTCTGGTAAGAGAGAAGTAAATCATGCATTTGGAAAGTAGATCCTCGCATCTCTTAAGGTCAGGTCTTAAAATATGGCTCATCAGGTAAGGCTTTTATTTGGCAAACTTGAGGAGCAGATTTCTATTTCTAGAACCTGCTAGAAAGTCAGGTAGGGGCTCTGAAGAGGTGGCTCAGCAGTTAAAAGCACTAGCTGTTCTTCCAGAGGATCTGGGTTCAATTCCCAGCACCCACACAGCAGCTCATAACTAGCTCCAGTTTCAGGGAATCTCATACCTTCGCACAGATACACATTCAGACAAAACCTGAGCGCACATGAAGAAAAATAAATAATTAAAAATGTGTTTAAAAAAATGAAGTCGGGTGGAGATACTAGCTACCAGTGCTGGAGACAGAGATGGACTCTCGAGAGAAAGCTCAGTAGCCAGACTAGGGCAGCCAGAGGGTAGAAACTATGACCTCCAGGCTCAGCAAGGCACCCTGCCTTGTTACATAAGGTATAAACGATGGAGGAAGAACCTATGACATCAATGTTGAGCCTGCATGTGCACACGCCCTCCACGCACAGGTGTGTCCCCATACGTGAACATGCGTACACACATACCTAAGAGAAAGTTCTGCATACCACAATTGGCAATAAATAAATTTTAAAAAAAAGAATGGAGTTTTGGAGAAAAAAAAAAGCCATCTCCCTTTTCCCTGTTCCATTTTTATAGGAAAGTAAATTATTTGTTCATAATACAGAAAGTGATTGGCAATTTTGAATTGATTTTTTGTCATATTCCTTTACATTATCATTATGGTCTGTTTGCACTGCTTGCTGGGTGGTAACGAACGAGTTCCTGCTTGACTAGACTCCCTGCTGTGTCTGATGGTCTCCAGGAGGCTGGGAATGGACGGGTAGTTCACTTACTCTTCCCAGGACCCAGTAGTACTGTTTGAGTGCTTGGCCCATAGGAAGTGGCACCATTAAAATGTTAAATGCCTGGTAGCCAGTTGATTTTTAGTCTACAAAATCACAAGCATCACTCCCAAAACCATAATTCACAATTAAATGTTATCCCTATCTATTAATATTTTATGTAGAATATTTTATGTCTGCCTTCTAAGACAATGCCACCTGGGGACCAGCATTGTGCTAAGCACCTTTGTCTCAGTACTCAGGACACAAGGACAGGAGGATCTCTGTGACTTGGAAGTCAACCTGGTCTCCACAGCAACTTCTAGAATAGAAGGACTGTGTAGAGAGACCCTGTCTCAATGGCCAAGAAGGAGAAAGAGTGCAGGGTCTTAACCCAACCAAAGAAGGTTGGGTTGGGTCCCAGGAAGAGTAAGTACGCTGCTCGTCCATCCCCAGCCTCCTGGAGACAAACACAGCAGGGAGTCTAGTCAAGCAGGAACTCATTTATTACCACACAACAAGCATCTTTTAAAGGAAAATAACAGAACTGCAAAACAGACAGCCAAAGCCAATGGTTTTAAAGGTCAGCCTGTCATGCATCTAGGTGCCCTAGACTTTACCTAGTGAACCTGAGCTGTTCATGCAGTGACCTCATCTGGTTTGATCTAGGCAACCAATCGTCTTTTTTTTGTAAACAACCCAGGACTTGCCCATGTGACTTCCGCTCAGCGCCATCTTTGACTGGCCCATGTGCCTTACAGATTCCCCCTTTTTGTTTTAGACTATGGCCCACCTCATTTTGAAGTATGGGCCTCTTGTCACCTCCACAGAGGTTCACCTCTAGTAGCACCTTTTGTCAAGGTTCACTCAAAAGGGAGATATCCTCGGAGCTGAGTCTGTCACAATGTGTGTGAGGGGTCATCGGTTGGGTCTCGCATCTTTGTTTGATTAGTCTGACCAGCCTATTGAAAAGGCAAGGCCCAAAGACACAAATTAAGGTTATTACTATAAAAGAACCCAGCAAGGTGGAGATTGCCTTATCCAGGAGTCCATCCCTGCTTTTCTCACACCTCCATTATGCAAAGTAGAAGGCATCCACCTAACCATATTTGGATATGTCCGTTGCTGTTCAGTTGTTCCCCAGGCATATGTAAGAGTCAGTGTCCCATAATACTGTCCTGTTGGGAACATGTAAGCAGTCCAGGGATTGAGCAGGTGGCACCCCCACAACCCTCCACATTCAGATGGTCCTTAATGAAGAGAAATCCAGTCTCCTAGATCCCAAGATCCTCGGGCCAGGTGACAGAGATCGAAGAAGAGCATGGGCCATCAGGTCTGGAGGACTGCCTCATTCGTGGTGCTGTTGAAGACATCTCCTTTGGCGGACCTGATCACGTCATCTTTTGGGGACAACGATGGTTCTGCTGGGTGGTCACTGGAGCAGTCAGCATCTGCAGCAAGAGTGTTAGAGCGGTCAGGAATGGGGACATCATCTGTAACTTTTAGAGAACACATGAGCTTTTCAAGGGTTCAGTGCCCGTGGGCATGGTTATTATTTCAGAAGATGAGCCTTGACCACCATTTTCACTTCCTCTTCTTGTTGGTCAACCTGTTCTTGGTCATCCTCCTGCATTTGGGAGCAGGCAGGAATTTTAGATTTCTGACTGGAAGCCAGATAGGCACTTCCTCCCCTATGGGGAAGACACATCCAAATCCTCTTCCCATTGTAATTAATGGGTCTGGACCCCTCCACTGGAATGTTAGAGGGTCTTTACATTTGACCTTAACTTGGGGTTTGGGGTTTAGGTGGCCCCATTTTTTTTGGAACTTAGATTCAGTTGCTCCCTTAGAAAAATTTGAAATATTAATAGTAAATAAAGCCATTCTTAGTTGTAAATGGGGGCTGATTCCCCCTTTTTACTTTAAATGTTGTTATTTAAGACACTGATGGTTTCTTTCTATAATTGTTTGTCCCTGAGGGTTGTAAGGGTTCCTGTAGTATGTTTGATGTGCCATCTATTGAAAAATTCTGTCATGGAATTACTGGCAAAGCAAGGGTCATTATTAGTCTTAATCTGTGTGGATACAGATACTGGATGTGTATTTGGTTTTTGGTTTTGGTTTTTTTTTTCTTCCCCTGTATGTGTAGTGGTCCTACAGGCCCCTGAATAAATGTCTGTGGAGACAAAAAATACTTCTATTTAACAAAAGCTGGAAAATGAGTAACATCAGTTTGCCAGAGAGTATTGGGTCCTAGGCCTCTGGGGTTAACTCCTGGCGGCTGTAGAGGGGGAACTCTTAGATATGGTTGACTTGATTTGCAGGTGTGAACTATACTTTTTAGCTCTTTTTTAGGAATCATTGGGAATCTGTTATGTAGTCTCCTCCAATTGACATGGGTCATATCATACAATTGAGTGACTTCCTGTAGGGTTAGTGCCTCTGAGGTTGTCATCAGTCTATCTGTCCATTCATTGCCCTTAGTCAGGGACCCTGGGAGGCCAGAGTATCCCCGAAGGTGTAGAAAGTAAATTGGTGCCTCTAGACCCTCTAAAAGGGCCTAAGATCCACCATGAGGGGGGA